GGAGAGAGAGAGAGAATGAACGATGGATATCTGTCGCTGTTAGACGAAGAGGATCGACACGGGGTCGAAACGAGGGGGACAAAGACGGGTAGAGAATGGTACAGACGTATGCGTTATCTACCTGAGCGCACTATCGGTTCACAGAGCCGAGCAGAGAGCGAATATTGTGTTTACCCATACGCACGGCTTTGCGATGCAAATAATCTGGTATTATTGCACTTACTCCGCGTACCGGCGAGGTTCTTCCGTGACTGGCACAGCTTCCAACCCTTCTTCCTTCCACGCCATCCCTTGGCCTCGAGTATTTATTTGCGCGATACACGCGCGTTATATACGTATCCACCGTATCGTATCGAGGACCGGTGTATCCTGTTATTGCTGCTTTTTCCTCGATTCTCGATTATTTACGGCGAAACGTTTTTCAGCATCGATGAAGGAAGTTGGATATTGTCCGCTTTGCTTTTCGAGGGGTGCCCCGTTCTTTTCGTGCCCCTTTTGTTTGGATAATCGACGACGATCTTTGAACGATTTTGAGAATGTTGGAATATCGTCGAAATTAATTTTTTCAGGGGAAATCATTCGAGTAGAATTTTTATTATTATATCGTGAAGAAATGAAAATAGGAAACGTAAAGTAAATGGAAAAGGATATTGCGTTGTCAGACACGCCGTAGAATTAGGCTTTGGGTGTCTACAACACCCAAACAGAATTTTTTAAAAATAAAACTTTTTGTAGATTATATACATACTTGATTTTAAAATATAACTGGAACCAGCCATATCATTATCCAATAAATTAATATCTAAACAATTGTTCGAAGATAGTTACAATTCTGAAAATCAATTTTTATAGATCTTATTTTGACACGCATCATCAAGAAAACACGTATCTCGATTCAAATAAAAAAGTGGCATATTTTTATCATTTTTTTTTTCATTTAGTCACACGAAAATTCCTCTATACAAAATTTAATACATCATCCAGGATCACGATGGCGGATCAGAGACACCTTCTGTTTATCGTCGAGCACCTCCAAGATTCCCTCGACTGCTCGTTCGAGGAGAAAAGTATCGTTGCCACGAAAGAGGAAGGTTCTTCTTTCTTTTTTTTTTTTCTTCTTTTTTTTTTTCGTGTCTTCCGCTGATTCAGCGATTACCACATTAATCTCAAGTTCCCGCCAGGTTAGGCTAGGTCGACGGACAGAGGAAGAGACGAGCGGCATACCCGGCCATAGAAAACCCTTAGGCGTTCGCCATTCACTTCGCGACGGATTGCGGATTCCACGAGTTCCACTATTCGATTCGATTGCTTCTTATCCATCGGCTCTCGCTCGCTCTCTCACGCCACGCGTATTTACCTCTACTGATTTCTTCCCTCTCGATCTCCTTTCTGGTAAATCTGTCGAGGGTGTCCCTCCGACTTATTGCAACCCCACTTTTTCTTCCTCCTGCAAAACTCTTAAATGATTTTGTTGGTTGATCGAATACCGATAGATGATTCTGACGAAGATTTGTCTTTTATTTTATTTCTTTTTTTTTCTTTAATTTTGTCAAAGTGAAAGATTCTCAGAGATAGATTTTATATATATATATATTTTAAATACAAAAAGCTTAGAAAATTCTCTTAAAACTTTATAAACTTTCGACAAACAACCTATCCCGAACCACCGCAATAATCTCGTGTCTCGTCAACCTCAACTTCGAAGAACAAAGCTCCCACAGTTCTAGCTATCTTCCAAGATTCCATCAAAGTGTAAAACGTCGCGTGATCGATCTCAAGGAAAAGAACCACAAGTAGTCCAGCCGTGAGATTCGAAGGAACAGACGCCCGAGCGGCTAAGATATCCGAGCGAATCTAAAAAAGAAAGGGAAAAAAAGAAGGTAAAGGAAGAGAAACGGTATAAAAAAAAAAAAAAAGAAGCGGAGTCGGTAAAACGAGAGCGATGAAAGTGTTTATGGGCAAAGGAGAAGAAAAAGAGAGAGAGAGACAGAGAGGGAGAAAAGGGACTGGCCGCTTTGGATGACTCGTCGACTTTCGACGAAAAGCCGGCAAGATTATGCCGCCATCTTGGATGTTGGTAAATATCTCGTGGCAGAAGAGGCTGTCGAGTAAGGGATCCCGGAGAGAGTATGGGCGGAGAAGTAAAGCTGCCGCTCTACCACTACTACCAGAATTTCATCCTTGCCAAGGTAACGGTAGTTGCGCTGTAATCGTTGCAACTGGAAGACGAGATGGAGAGAGGGAAGACGTGGCAAGGAAGCGAGAAGAGAATCGGCGAAGAAGCGAAGGAAGAAGCGGGGAGGAGAGGAAAAAAATGTGGAAGGAGGCGACCACGGTTAGTGGTCGTGCGCGGGA